GTCCGACAAGAAGAACTGTTTCAGATGGTAAACAGCAACGAAAAAGTTAAACCTCTTGCGAAGGAAAGCAAGGCAAAAGGTGCACCTTTAAAAGATAGTGAAGGAAGATACATCTGCTATACGTGTGGTAAGCCAGGGCACACAAGCCGACGTTGTCCTCAGAGCAGAGAAAACTCTAGTAGAGTGCAACCTCACTCAGCAGAGATGGAAAAGACAGCTGACCGAGACACTTCAGTGCTAGAGAGCCCGGGTCCATCCGTTATTAGAAGTCATACTGCATACTGTGATACAGAGAATGTTTCCAAGACCCTTTGTGAAAGTGCTTTTGGAGATTGCATAACCATTGAAGTGAAAATCGCGGGTATCAGGACTATCTGCCTCTTGGACACAGGGTCAGAAGTGACTACTATCACTGAGTCATATTTTAAGAATCACTTTGGAGAAGTTGTGCTGTCGTCCGCCAGCAGGGTCCGACTTACAGCAGTAAATGGCCTAGACCAGGGATGGGCAAACTTGGCCCTTCCAGACCACTTTCCTTTAGCGTTTAGCTCTAACCCTAATCAAATACACCTGAACCAGCTAATAATTGTCTTCAAGACGACTAGAAGGCTACAGGCAGGTGAGTTTTATCAGATGCTTATCCTCTCCCTCGCGTGGAGGAATCGCTGGATGCCTTGGGAAATGCACAGCTGTTCTCCACCCTTGATCTTACCTCCGGGTATTTCCAAGTGGCGATGAGTGAGGAGTAAAGAGCAAAGACAGCGGTCACCACTCCCTTTGAACTGTTTGAATGGACCAGGATGCCATTCGTACTTTGCAACGCGCCTGCGACATTTCAACGCCTGATGGGGGTGGTGCTCGGTGATCTAACATTTGACATACTGCTCATCTACCTTGATGACATTATTGTCTTTTCGAAAGACTTCGAAAGCCATTGTCAAATACTGGAAATAGTGTTCAACCGGTTGAGACAGCATGGTTTGAAACTAAAACCCAGCAAGTGCTTCCTTTTGAAACCCGAAGTGAAATTCTTGGGTCACCTAGTTTACTCCCAGGGAATAAAGGTGGATGGAGAGAAAACTCGGGCATTGGAATCCTGGCCTGCACCCACGAATGTCAAGGAGTTAAGACAGGTCCTTGGATTCATGAGTTATTACAGGAGGTTTGTTCCTGGTTTTGCTCAGTTAGCCCGGCCTCTTCATGCCCTGGTGGGTAAATGAGGGAAGGAGAAAATCGTTGAACCTCTTAACTGGACAACAGCGTGTCAAACTGCATTTGACAAACTCAAGCAGTGTTTAATGTCTCCGCCAGTTCTCGCATACCCGGATTTCAGTCAATCTTTCGTACTCACAACTGATGGGAGCCTGCATAGTCTTGGGGCCGTGTTAATTCAACGATAAGGAAGTGCTGAGCGTGTGATCACATATGCAAGTCAGGGTCTTCGTGGGTCAGAAAAGAACGACCGAAATTACAGTGCTTTCAAGCTGGAGTTACTTGCCTTAAAATGGGCTGTAACCGAAAAGTTCAAAGAATACTTGATCTACTCCAAGTTCTCCGTGATAACAGATCACAACCCTTTGCGCTACTTGGCGACCGCAAATTTAGGAGCTGTTGAACAACAGTGGATGGCTCAGTTGTCGGAGTTAGATTTCGAAGTCTACTACAAACCAGGACGACAAAACACAAAGCAGATGTGTTATCAAGGATTCCATCTGGTGAGGAGCCTGAGCAAGAGGACTCCTCTAAAGACTTCATTAAGATTAATTAATGCCAAAAAGCAGCAGAGAGTACAAGCATCGGTCCAGGTGTCAGTGACAAGGAAAATCCCTGGATATAGCTGGAGTGATATAGAAGAGCAACAAAAGATCGACCCTCATATAGCTCCTATCTACTGTGCTGTACTAACCAACGCTGCAGAATACCACCAAAAGTGAGCTGCCAAGTGTTGGTGGAGGCCTCGTCAAAGGTCAGCTTGCCGAAGAGTGTTCTGATTGCTAATGTGCTCGCCAAGACAGTCAATGGTAAAGTCCCAGTCAGAGTGTTGAATTCTGGTGAAAAGCCTGTAAAGCTCCCACCACGATGTAGGATCGCTGCGCTGTCCAAGCCACAGGAAGTTGTGCCAAAAGTGCTTGTCGAGTTTGAAGAGAAAGAGGATGCTTTGCATGTTAAGGCTGTGCAGCAACGTCAGGTGAAAGTGGAGGTTAGCACCCCAGAACAGCTGCCAGTTCCAGTGCAAATTAATCCAGAGAACCTCACAGCAACACAATGTCGCAAACTCCAGGACTTACTGGCTAAGCACAGTGATGTGTTTTCGAAGAACGACTGTGACCTCGGTTATACGACTGCTGTCACACATAGTGTCCCAACAGGTGATGCTCCTCCCATTAAGCAAAGGCATCGCAGAATTCCACCTCAGGTGTTTCAGGAAGTGAAAAAACATGTTCAAGATTTGGTGTCTCAAGGTATTCTCATAGAAAGCTGTAGTCCGTGGGCATCTCCAGCGGTGATTGTGATTAAGAAGGATGGCAGCGTACGCTTTTGCTGCGACTACAGAAGGTTGAATAAAGTGACCTGCAAAGATGCTTATCTTCTCCCTCGCGTAGAGGAATCGCTGGATGCCTTGGGAAATGCACAGCTGATCTTCACCCTTGATCTTACCTCCGGGTATTTCCAAGTGGCGATGAGTGAGGAGTAAAGAGCAAAGACAGCGGTCACCACTCCCTTTGAACTGTTTGAATGGACCAGGATGCCATTCGTACTTTGCAACGCGCCTGCGACATTTCAACGCCTGATGGGGGTGGTGCTCGGTGATCTAACATTTGACATACTGCTCATCTACCTTGATGACATTATTGTCTTTTCGAAAGACTTCGAAAGCCATTGTCAAATACTGGAAATAGTGTTCAACCGGTTGAGACAGCATGGTTTGAAACTAAAACCCAGCAAGTGCTTCCTTTTGAAACCCGAAGTGAAATTCTTGGGTCACCTAATCTCCTCCCAGGGAATAAAGGTGGATGGAGAGAAAACTCGGGCATTGGAATCCTGGCCTGCACCCACGAATGTCAAGGAGTTAAGACAGGTCCTTGGATTCATGAGTTATTACAGGAGGTTTGTTCCTGGTTTTGCTCAGTTAGCCCGGCCTCTTCATGCCCTGGTGGGTAAATGAGGGAAGGAGAAAATCGTTGAACCTCTTAACTGGACAACAGCGTGTCAAACTGCATTTGACAAACTCAAGCAGTGTTTAATGTCTCCGCCAGTTCTCGCATACCCGGATTTCAGTCAATCTTTCGTACTCACAACTGATGGGAGCCTGCATAGTCTTGGGGCCGTGTTAATTCAACGATAAGGAAGTGCTGAGCGTGTGATCACATATGCAAGTCAGGGTCTTCGTGGGTCAGAAAAGAACGACCGAAATTACAGTGCTTTCAAGCTGGAGTTACTTGCCTTAAAATGGGCTGTAACCGAAAAGTTCAAAGAATACTTGATCTACTCCAAGTTCTCCGTGATAACAGATCATAACCCTTTGCGCTACTTGGCGACCGCAAATTTAGGAGCTGTTGAACAACAGTGGATGGCTCAGTTGTCGGAGTTAGATTTCGAAGTCTACTACAAACCAGGACGACAAAACACAAAGCAGATGTGTTATCAAGGATTCCATCTGGTGAGGAGCCTGAGCAAGAGGACTCCTCTAAAGACTTCATTAAGATTAATCAATGCCAAAAAGCAGCAGAGAGTACAAGCATCGGTCCAGGTGTCAGTGACAAGGAAAATCCCTGGATATAGCTGGAGTGATATAGAAGAGCAACAAAAGATCGACCCTCATATAGCTCCTATCTACCGTGCTGTACTAACCAACAAGAATCTGAGTCCAGTCGAGCACGAAATATGGATGTTGAGTTAAAAAAGCTTGCTAGACAATTCATACGACTCAAGCTTAAAAAATGAGTGATGTTCCGTACTAAATTTGAAAGAAATTTGTCAATTAGTGGTTCCAGAACCCTTGCGTTACAAAGTGTATGAGAGTCAGCATGATCATTGTGGCCAATTTGGAGAAAGAAGCACGCTGGAGCGCATGAGGCGGAGCTATTACTGGCCGACAATGAGTAAGGACATTCAAATCTGGATTCAGGAATGCAAGAGATGTGCCCTCGCGAAGGATGTTTTTCCTAAAATACGAGCCCCAATGACATGCTAATGACTAATGTATCTGCCCCTCTGGAAGTCCTTGCTATGCATTATCATGCTGCAACATGAGGTGATGGTCGTGGATGAATGGCACAACAATGGGCCTCAGGATCTCATCTCACCTCTCTGTGAGGTGGATGGATTATCTCAGCAAAGGAGACGTGCTCACTAACACAGATTTAGACAGATTTGTGAACAATATTTGAGAGAAATAGGCCTTTTGTGTACATAGAAAAAGTCTTAGAGCTGTAACTGATTACGATTACTTTTATTTTGTAATTAAATTACGTAATTCCGTTACATGAAACTAGTTACTTCCCAACACTGTGAATGTTGTTGCATATGAAGAAATGTACTGTTTTCCTTTCTTGTCACTGTCAATGGTTATACACTTTTTGCAGTTCTGTATTAAACATGTTTTTTCCTTCATAGCAAAACCATTTTATATAGTAAGCAAGACTTTCTATATTAAATAAAAACCATGAACTATCAGGGTGTTACAACTTGGTATGCTAGTCAATTTGGTATCTTGGTTTCATTGCAAAGTATTTTTAATGCTTATTTTATGTTTTTTCTATATCTACTACACTACATCTGCTTTGCTTATATTATTTTCCATTCTGTTTACATAATTTTGGCATTGACAATATGATAATTAATTTAGTGTACCAATTAATTATGTGTACTTTGTGAAACTTTTTGAAAGTGAGTTTGCAATATTTTTATCTCTTCAAACAGAAAGCAAACTGACCACACCCTTTCTACTGCCTTACATGCAGTAAACACTTGGGATGTGTAGATAAGAGTGGTGCACTACGAACTTATACTTGCTTTTAGGAACATCATTCTGAATGGTCATTCAGATGCAACTGAGATGAGCAGGTAAGAGTAATTATTTTCATTTAATGAGACAAATGCAGGTCAGGAACATAAAAGCAAAAAAAACTGCTTGCTAAAACTTCTGTGTCAAGCTCACTATTATTTTATTTTTATTCATAAATTAATTTATCAAAATTATTTTGATTTTGTTTAAATACAGTTGCTTGCACAATGCAGTATGCACAAGATATAAAGACATTTTTTATGTTCTTTATTATTATTTATTCAAGTCTTTTTTATATTAGTAAGTCATGGGAATTAGATTTTAATGTTTTATTCTTCAACAGGCATATGCATTTAAAAATTGCACTAGTATTCATTTACATACTTGTGCACTTGCACTGGAGCTGCACTGTAGATATATGTCAAGAAGATGACGACTGCAAAAAGCAAGACGTGTATGACAAAACCGTGACAGCAATTCCTGAAAAACTAAAAGATGGAGCCGAAGAAATATTTTTTGTAAACAGTCAGATTCCTGTGATACCAAAAGGAGTTCTTTCTAAAAACCCTCAAATAAAGAAAATTGAATTTCTTGGTACTTCAACTCACTCTGTAGAAGTTGGAGCCTTTGAGGGTTTGCCTAATATCACAATTATTGAGATATCTGGCACAAATGTGACATCATTACCTGTGGGTGTTTTTAAGGATCTCAACAACCTTCTAAAACTTGTTTTAAAAAGTAACAAAATACATAGCCTTGAAAATGGGTTATTTGACTATTTAAAAAAGCTTCAGGTATTACATCTACATATGAATAAGATCAGTACCATTGAGGAGGGGACATTTGACAATTTAGAGGAACTCTTGAGTCTTCATCTTGCAAAAAACAACCTTAGTTCCGTATCGACATCTCTTTTTTCCAATCTTAAGAGCTTGAAAATGTTCAGGCTTTATGAGAACCAGTTGACTGCTCTACCTGATGGGATTTTTGATAATCTCCCTGATTTGGAAGAGATAGCCTTGCAATGCAACCAAATCTCCTATATACAACCAAATTTATTTCCACACAAAAGTAAATTAACAAAACTCTATTTGGACAATAATCTTTTAACAGAACTGCAGCCAGATTTATTTGTCGGTTTCTCTTTATTAAAGAGTCTAACTCTAAACAAAAATCAACTCACCAGTCTTCCCAGCGTCCTTTTTGGAGAAACGCTCAAAATAACTGAATTAAGTCTAAGCCATAACAATCTCACTCACTTACCAACTGGAGTTTTCAGTCCACTTAAGAAGCTAAAGAAGTTAGACCTTTCCTCAAACCAGTTTTCAATTATATCTGCAAACTTTTTTGAAGGTCTTGAGAAACTGACTGATCTGAATTTACAAAATAACAGTATAGAGTCATTAAAACAAGAGGACTTTAAAAAACTAAAGTCTCTTTCAACGCTCAAACTGGGAAATAATAAACTACAAAGCCTCCCTGGCGATGTTTTTGATTCTCTTCCAAAACTCAGTAAACTGTACCTGAATGAGAACCCATGGAAGTGTGACTGTAACCTGTTGCCATTCTATGAATGGATGAAGAACAATAAGGGCAAGATTAAATCAAAACCTCCAGAAGTTTGTGAGTTACCAAAAAATCTGCTAAATCAGTTAATCATCTCTTTAACAGAAGAACAATTAATATGCCTCACAACTTCACCAACTACCACCCCTCTCCTTACAAGTACCGTTCCCATGTTCTATATTAAATAAAAACCATGAACTATCAGGGTGTTACAACTTGGTATGCTAGTCAATTTGGTATCTTGGTTTCATTGCAAAGTATTTTTAATGCTTATTTTATGTTTTTTCTATATCTACTACACTACATCTGCTTTGCTTATATTATTTTCCATTCTGTTTACATAATTTTGGCATTGACAATATGATAATTAATTTAGTGTACCAATTAATTATGTGTACTTTGTGAAACTTTTTGAAAGTGAGTTTGCAATATTTGTATCTCTTCAAACAGAAAGCAAACTGACCACACCCTTTCTACTGCCTTACATGCAGTAAACACTTGGGATGTGTAGATAAGCGTGGTGCACTACGAACTTATACTTGCTTTTAGGAACATCATTCTGAATGGTCATTCAGATGCAACTGAGATGAGCAGGTAAGAGTAATTATTTTCATTTAATGAGACAAATGCAGGTCAGGAACATAAAAGCAAAAAAAACTGCTTGCTAAAACTTCTGTGTCAAGCTCACTATTATTTTATTTTTATTCATAAATTAATTTATCAAAATTATTTTGATTTTGTTTAAATACAGTTGCTTGCACAATGCAGTATGCACAAGATATAAAGACATTTTTTATGTTCTTTATTATTATTTATTCAAGTCTTTTTTATATTAGTAAGTCATGGGAATTAGATTTTAATGTTTTATTCTTCAACAGGCATATGCATTTAAAAATTGCACTAGTATTCATTTACATACTTGTGCACTTGCACTGGAGCTGCACTGTAGATATATGTCAAGAAGATGACGACTGCAAAAAGCAAGACGTGTATGACAAAACCGTGACAGCAATTCCTGAAAAACTAAAAGATGGAGCCGAAGAAATATTTTTTGTAAACAGTCAGATTCCTGTGATACCAAAAGGAGTTCTTTCTAAAAACCCTCAAATAAAGAAAATTGAATTTCTTGGTACTTCAACTCACTCTGTAGAAGTTGGAGCCTTTGAGGGTTTGCCTAATATCACAATCATTGAGATATCTGGCACAAATGTGACATCATTACCTGTGGGTGTTTTTAAGGATCTCAACAACCTTCTAAAACTTGTTTTAAAAAGTAACAAAATACATAGCCTTGAAAATGGGTTATTTGACTATTTAAAAAAGCTTCAGGTATTACATCTACATATGAATAAGATCAGTACCATTGAGGAGGGGACATTTGACAATTTAGAGGAACTCTTGAGTCTTCATCTTGCAAAAAACAACCTTAGTTCCGTATCGACATCTCTTTTTTCCAATCTTAAGAGCTTGAAAATGTTCAGGCTTTATGAGAACCAGTTGACTGCTCTACCTGATGGGATTTTTGATAATCTCCCTGATTTGGAAGAGATAGCCTTGCAATGCAACCAAATCTCCTATATACAACCAAATTTATTTCCACACAAAAGTAAATTAACAAAACTCTATTTGGACAATAATCTTTTAACAGAACTGCAGCCAGATTTATTTGTCGGTTTCTCTTTATTAAAGAGTCTAACTCTAAACAAAAATCAACTCACCAGTCTTCCCAGCGTCCTTTTTGGAGAAACGCTCAAAATAACTGAATTAAGTCTAAGCCATAACAATCTCACTCACTTACCAACTGGAGTTTTCAGTCCACTTAAGAAGCTAAAGAAGTTAGACCTTTCCTCAAACCAGTTTTCAATTATATCTGCAAACTTTTTTGAAGGTCTTGAGAAACTGACTGATCTGAATTTACAAAATAACAGTATAGAGTCATTAAAACAAGAGGACTTTAAAAAACTAAAGTCTCTTTCAACGCTCAAACTGGGAAATAATAAACTACAAAGCCTCCCTGGCGATGTTTTTGATTCTCTTCCAAAACTCAGTAAACTGTACCTGAATGAGAACCCATGGAAGTGTGACTGTAACCTGTTGCCATTCTATGAATGGATGAAGAACAATAAGGGCAAGATTAAATCAAAACCTCCAGAAGTTTGTGAGTTACCAAAAAATCTGCTAAATCAGTTAATCATCTCTTTAACAGAAGAACAATTAATATGCCTCACAACTTCACCAACTACCACCCCTCTCCTTACAAGTACCGTTCCCATGACCACACTGCACACTACAACTGCCTCAACAACAAAGTTAACCTCAACGACAGCAGCACCTACAACAACTACTGCTTTACAGACGACAACCACACCTACTCCAACAACAATACCAACAACAACTCAAACAACTACAACACAGACAACCCCCACAGCACCAACTACTCAACTCACAACTTTGCTACTAACCACAACCACACTACCTACCACCACTGCTACAACTACAGCTCCGACAACTACATCAGTCCGAACAACAGCATCAACAACTACACTACAGCCAACAACTGCCCATCTGACAACTGCATTGATTCCCACCACAACGACAGTACAAACAACAACTTCAGCGACCACCACTTCTACAACCACAGTACCATCAACAATGGCCCATGTGACAACTACAGTGACTCCCACCACATCAACTTCGACAATCCAAACTACAATTGCAACAACTTTAGCCACTACAACTATATTAATCCCAACCACTATTACAAGTCAAAAAACAACAGCAACTACCTTACCATCCAGCACAACTACAAGGAAAACAACACCTTTTCTTACCACACATATTAGTTTCATCTGTACCAGCTCTCCTCAGGCCCCTCTCTCAACACCTACTACCACCAACAAGTACTCATCATGCAAGGAATTGATGATATATTATACTACAATGCTGCTGGTGGAAATCTGCTGTACTATGGTGCTGGCCAAATTCACTTATTCACTATACTGCTCTCTGGAGCAAAGGGAGAGACTGCACACCCAGGTCAACTTGACTCACTTCTCCTATATTAAGTCTATTGTACTCAGACCAGTTGATGAGACAGAGACTGTAGCTCTTTGATCTTTTTTTTTTTTTTTTAAGTTTGAGTAGCACCTGGTGGTGGTCACTTATTAGAGTCTTAGAGCACTCTTACTGTTCCTCAGAGGAATTCTATTACAAACTGTCTATAATTGATGCTTAATGCTTTCATTTTATAACAATGTACAATAGTGTCCACAAGTCTGAATCCTTTACCTCTGTTTTACTATTAAAATATTACTTTTTATATTCTATAATTCTATTATATAATGCATTGTATACATTATGTAATAATATGTCATCAGCAGAACAATTTAAGTGAAGAGTTTAATTAAAAACATGTACATTTAAAAATGTTTAGTATTTAGTAAGTTGCCCTTTGACAGCAGCACTTTAACTGCATAAGTTGGTGTAAAACATGATGATCCAAAGAGTATCTTGTGTGCCTCAGTGAAAGCAAGAACATCTGACCTTTCAAACAAAGTAGTTTATACGGTCAATGTTAAAAATATGCCTAATTATTTTTAGGTTGTATATATCCTTATATAACCTATATCTTTTGGCAGAAGGACAACCCACAATGCTTTATATGAGGATCAAATAGCACAATATGTGTAAGGGATCATCTATTGCTAAGGGTGCATTATATTTTAATGTGTGATGTGGAGGCAAAGAACCACCTGACTTGCAGAGGTAAAAACAGAAGTTTAAACGTGCGTGTAATACACAAGAACCAATGAGGATTGTTGTAGTGAGCTTCCGCATTAACTGTATGTGAAGTGTTCTATGCATGTGTCTTTATAGATGAATACAGCTTAAATTAAATCTATTTATCATATGAAGTGTATCTATGCACAAGACTTGGATTAAACCTTTTTGCATCTTCTAAGTTTTGGTTCCCTGGACTTTCAGTGGAAGGAAAGAAACGTCTCAGGTTTCATTAAATATATGTTAATGTGTGTTTTGAAGATTAACCGAAGTCTTATGAGGGTGAATACATGATGACAGAGTTTTTATTTTTGGGTGAACTATCACTTTAAGTGTGTCCAAACTTTAAACTGGCAGTGTACATATTTTACAACACAGCACAGAGATACTTTTCAAGCTTCATGTTTGTATTTTTTATCTAATAAGTCAAAATCATTGTAAATCCATCTAGCAGTTAATATGTGATGTAATGTGTTTACTGTTCTTTGGAAGGGGAAATCTAAAAAGGGTTTCTTTTGAGTTAGGTCACAACTCTTGAGAAGGTTGGGGCATCTGTTGGCTACTATTAAGCAATTATTTGCAATTCATTTATCAAATGTCAGCAGTCTTGATTAATTATCCTTAGAAGAAAAACGTTGTAGGTGTAAGACTTTGGTCACATTGTATTAGAGAGCAAAAGAATGTCATTGAGACCAGATGCTTTTGTGGGGGTCATAAAAACAAGAGGCTAAATCAGAAGAGGTGCAGAGAGTTATTGGTCATGGGCCTCATTTGCATCGAATTCAAATATTTGTCTAGCTGCATATTTATTAAGTGTATACTACATTTGTAATATTTATTATGCTTTAATTGCACTTGTTTAAGCATGTAAATGGATCTGAAAAAATCCACAAATTAGCATGGGAATATTTTCTGGGTCGATTTTTCAGGCACTCGGTCTCATTTTTAGTCTGGAAGCAAAAAGTTGTTCTTAAAAACAGATATGAATGTCTTTCCCAATGTCACGCACTAGGTGTCAGTGTAGCCTCGTTTATTTTGTTTTGTCCAATAATTTGCGGCACCTCCTGCCCAAACAGTGATTCATAAAATCACATTCTATCCTGTTTATGTATCGAAATTAAGGGGGAAAACACAACCTGCACAGTGTCCTTAGTTTAAATAGATAAATAAGTAAACAAATAAATAAATAAAAGCTATTGTGTGAGTATTAAAGTGTGTAGTATATATGTTTTACAGTGGAGCACAAACAGAAAACACACAAACACGCACAGAAACCCCAGCCTGCACGCAACATTCTACAATCACAATCCTTGATTAGTGTAATGAAACTGTCTTGCTGCAAAGGAAATAGCGAGGTATAGGCCTACACATTTGAAGTGATTCTCTGGATGTGAGAATCACTTCAAATAGAGAGGTATAGGCCTACACATTTGAAGTGATTCTCTGGATGTGAGACGGGTGAGTAATCGTACTCATACAGTTACAACAGACCTTGCTTTCAAATGCACTATGCATCATGACTGAATGTTTCATATTTTAAGCCAGTGATATTCTGCCTTGTGTCAGAAATGTTAGAAACATTAAATTCATAACAACACTATTAATAAAAGTATAAAATATATCAAATAAAAAGTTGAAGAAATATAAAAAGGTATATACAGTAGTGAGTACACCCCTCAAATTTTTTGTAAATATTTTATTATATCTTTTCATGTGACAACACTGAAGAAATGACACTTTGCTACAATGTAAAGTAGTGAGTGTACAGCTTGTATAACAGTGTAAATTTGCTGTCCCCTCAAAATAACTCAACACACAGCCATTAATGTCTAAACCACTGGCCACAAAAGTGAGTACACCCCTAAGTGAAAATGTCCAAATTGGGCCCAAAGTGTCAATATTTTGTGCGCCCACCATTATTTTCCAGCACTGCCTTAACCCTCTTGGGCATGGAGTTCACCAGAGCTTCACAGGTTGCCACTGGAGTCCTCTTCCACTCCTCCATGATGACATCATGGAGCTGGTGGATGTTAGAGACCATGCGCTCCTCCACCTTCCATTTGAGGATGCCCCACAGATGCTCAATAGGGTTTAGGTCTGGAGACATGCTTGGCCAATCCATCACCTTTACCCTCAGCTTCTTTAGCAAGGCAGTGGTCGTCATCATGTTGGAATATTTCTCTGCGGCCCAGTCTCCGAAGGGAGGGGATCATGCTCTGCTTCTGTATGTCACAGTACATGTTGGCATTCATGGTTCCCTCAATGAACTGTAGCTCCCCAGTGCCGGCAGCACTCATACAGCCCCAGACCATGACACTCCCACCACCGTGCTTGACTGTAGGCAAGACACACTTGTCTTTTTACTCCTTACCTGGTTGCCGCCACACACGCGTGACACCATTTGAACCAAATAAGTTTATCTTGGTCTCATCAGACCACAGGACATGGTTCCAGTAATCCATGTCCTTAGTCTGCTTGTCTTCAGCAAACTGTTTGCGGGCTTTCTTGCGCTTTTCTTTAGAAGAGGCTTCCTTCTGGGACGACAGCCATGCAGACCAATTTGATGCAGTGTGCGGTGTATGGTCTGAGCACTGACAGGCTGACCCCCCACCACTTCAGCCTCTGCAGCAATGCTGGCAGCACTCATAAGTCTATTTCCCAAACACAACCTCTGGATATGATGCTGAGCACGTGCACTCAAATTCTTTGGTCGACCATGGCAAGGCCTGTTCTGAGGGGAACCTGTCGTGTTAAACCGCTGAATGGTCTTGGCCACCGTGCTGCAATCTTCTTATAGCCATCTTTATGTAGAGCAACAATTATTTTTTTCAGATCCTCAGAATATATATATATATATATATATATATTGTTGTTGTTATTATTATTAGTGTCTAGAGATATAGGAAGTCAACACAAAGTATAAATTAATAAAGAAAAATTTAAGATGTTAGAATCGGAGCAGCCACTTACTAATGAGATAAGCTGGGTGGCGTAATTAATCAAACAGAAACAAGAAATGAGTATCAGCTAATTTTTCATAAAGAATTATGTCCACCAAAACAAAACACTTGCTCTTTAAATTTAGAGTGGCAACCATTGCCTTAAAAACATAAAGAAAACTATATTTACAAATTATATACACACGTACTGATAATAAACCCAAAAGTGTGAGACATGAGTGGGGCTGAAATAATAATTATAATAATAACAGTAATAATAATAATAATAATAATAATAATTTATAATAATTTAAAAAACGCATATTAACTCCAACTAATCCAACACTAATCTAAGTTTTAAAAAAGCAAGTCTTCAGCTTTAAACTCCAACTAACTACGCTAACTAACCAAACATAAATACAAATATTGGCTCCAGCTCCTAAACTGGTGTTTTTATGCAAGCTTAAACTCTACATGTTGCTTCACGTAGCATACTAAGATATGAGTCAGAGATAAATACAGCAATCTACTCTTAAAAAGATAGTAGAAATCAAATCAAAGCACAGTCGGACACAAACCACATTTAGAGAAGATGGAGCAAATGGAAATAACTTATAATACAAACTATTAACTCATAATTGGAACAAAAATTCGAAAAGTGGACAGCGTGACAAACAATCGAGAGCAGAAAAGGTATCATTTCCAAGTCCTTATACTTGGTTGAGGGTGTCTTTTTGGTTCTGAAAGGGGAATTGTCATCACGTTGACAATGAAGATTGACCTGGCTGATGTCCAATCATAGGACCTGAAAGTTGTAACAATCAAGACAACAAGGAAGATGGAAAAAGAAAAACACCAACATTACGGAAAGAAATGGAACTATATATATTCTTGAATATATATATGGGAGTTGGAAAAAGAAAAAACATCCCACAACATTACAGAAAGGAATGGAATATTAATAGTTAGGAACCCCAAATATATAGCTATATTATAGGAAAGTGGTTGACCAATATGGTGTTTTCAATGATTCATTGCATGTTCAGTCTTTGTAATGTTCTGTCTTTACTTGAATAGTATACTTGGGAGCGCGGAGAGAACAACGCACAGAGTCCCAATGTCAGAGCGGAGAATTCCCCAGTGAGCACACCGACAGGAATGGGAGTAGTGAAGCCATAATACATGGCTCATGTAATGCCAGGGCAGGAACTGTGGATCAGAGGTCTGGAGGAATGAGAGGCAGAGAGCGAGCAAGAAAAGAACTCAAACAACAGAAACTAAACTGCAATTGGAGCCTCGGAAAACATGGGAAAATCCAACAGGATTCAGAGGGGACCGAAACACAGGCTTAACCCTGGACACATGGAAAACAGGGTGAACCTGACCAAAAGTGTTCAGAAGCTTGAGATGCACTGCTACCGGACTCAGAACCTTGGTGCAATATGCGATATGGCCCAATGAATCGGGGTGCCAGCTTACGAGAAGGTACCCAGAGAGGCAGGTCCTTACCTTAAAAAAAACATACCTTCTGACCACACACATACTGAGGGGCCGGAGTCCTGTGATGATCCGCCACCGCTTTGGTCCATCTGAAAGTCCTCCTCCAGGTGCGACGACACCAACGGACGAAGGCCAAGCTAGACAGGACCGCAGCTTCGGGTTCCTGAGCAGGCAAAAGAGGTGGTTGATAACCCATGGAACAAACTGGGTCCTCTGTTGGAGACCACCACTTGTGCTGTCTCCTTGGCAGAGGGGCTTGGGCAAGGGAATAAAATGGGCCACTTTGGAGAAGCGATCTACCATCATCAGAATCACGGTGTTGCCTCTCAATGGGGGAAGACCAAAGACAAAATCAAGGGCCAGGTGTGACCAAGGACGAGAGGGAATGGGCACAGGCTGCAACAGACCAACAGAAGACTGGTTAGATGTCTTATTTTGAGCACACACCGAGCAAGCCAACATAAACTACCTGACATACTGGACCATGGATGGCCACCAGAATCACTGATAGATGGCATCCAGCAATCTCCGAACCCCTGGATGACAGGCTACCCTGGATTTGTGACCTCACCGGAGGACCTCAGGACCCAGCGCAGCTGGCACAAACAACCGACCCCCCAGACACCAAAAGGGTAAGACCTGGTATTCAAAGTGTCCCATTGGGGTGTTGAAGGCTGTCTTCCACTTATCCCCCTCACGAATACGGACCAAATGGTAGGCATTATGGAGGTCTAACTTAGTAAAGACATTGACTACCTGTAACAATTCAAAAGCTGATGGCATCAGAGGCAGAGGACACCTGTCTCTTATGGTGATGTCATTGAGACCCTGTTAATCAATGCAAGGCCGTAAGGAGACATCATCCATCTTAACGAAGAATAACCCAGCCACAGTAGGTGAGGAAGAGGGACAGATGAGGCCGGCATTTAAGGACACTTGAATGTACTTATCCATGGCCTCTCTCAGGACCAGACAGGGAATACAGATGCCCCAGAGAAGTGCCTAGGAGGAGATCGATGGCACAGTCATCTGTGACCAATGTGGAGATAAAGACGTGGCCTGGGATTTACTGAAATCCTGGCAAAGATTGTGGTATTCCGCTGGAACTCCGGAGAGATCTGCCATCTCTACTTGAAACACAGAAGACACAGCCAGGAGACAAGGCAGCACCTAAACACGAAGCAAGACAAGACTGACTCCAAGATAACACAGAATTTCCTGACCAATCCACGTGAGGGTTGTGCTGCACAAGCCACGGGTGCCCCAGGACAACTGGAGCACCTGGTGAATCAAGGAGGTACAGCTCAATCACCTCACAGTAATTGCCAGAGACCACTAGACTTACAGAAGGAGCGGAGGGGGTGATGGAGGAGAGGAGAAGGCTATTGAGGTAACAGACTGAGATGGGAGAAGGAAGAGGAATGGCAGGAATGCCACACTGTGCCGCAACAGAAATGTCCAAGAAATTGCCCTCAAAATGACAAGAGCAGAACTGGAGTGAACAGAACTCAACAGAAACAGGGAGTAGGGTACGAGACAAGGGGGAGTTTAGACATGGAGAGGCGCCCATCAGGATCCCCCAGCTTATTGATGGGCCCCGGCTTTTAAAGGACACCAGATGGCTCGGTGCCCAAGCTTCCCACAATACAAGCAGAGACCTCAAGCCAGTTGATTCTGCTTCTCCTTGGCTGTAAGAC